AAGGCTCTGAGTGGTTTACAAGGGCATATTACACTTCCTAACTAGGGCCACACAATGTACATAGGGGAAGGTGAGTGCCTACCAGGCACCCCGCCGGCTTGTTGTTGTTCTCTCTTCTTCTTGCGGCTTCCTCATGGTGGGTTCTGTCTCGGCGGGGCTCCACAACGGCTCCTTCTGGGGTAGTTCCCACAGTCCGCGACTGTGCGACGACTGCTGCATTGGCCTCTGTCCGATTGGCTCTGGACCGATCCCCGGCTGGAACGCCTGCTGCCCGATGTCGACTCGCCGCCATATTCTTGCCAGATCGTCCCGCCGCCATCGCCTGCCGCCAGCTCCACCGTTCTTTCTCTGCCACTCTGCTTCGCCGCCACCACATTGGAAGGCGGGTGCACCCCTGCACCTAGGCAGGTACCCATTTATCTACTTGCTAGGCTTTCGAACCGCTGGGTAGGCGGTTCTTAAATTTGGGGGCTAGCTCCTAGAGCCGAAGAAAATTTGCCAAAGCCTGGTTTAACAAATAGTGGCCAAAACATCGCTTCTGATAGCTGAAGCAAGCTTTTTATCTGAATTAAAACTTTCACTCCTGACACACACCCCACAAGTTACTCTAAAAGTAAGTTGTGCTTGGAGCTAATCTCCCCCCCTCCCCAGTTTCTGTGTGAGACACTGATCTACAAATGCCTCCTAATTGGAAGGAGCAGTATCTCATGCAGAGTGGCGGTGGGCAACCTCCTTTGGAAGTGGGATGTATGTTATGCCTTAGCATCAGTAGTAGTTGAATAGCTTAGTCAGCAAAGACACAATAGAAATATCTGCCCCCCAGAGCGGAAGCTGGTTGAAAGGAGGCCAGCTCACCTGACTTGGAGGCATAGAATTATACACCATTACCCAGTGGAGGCTAGTTGTAAGGAGGCTAACTCAGAACACTGACTCATGCAGAGATGCAGCAGGCAGCCTCCTTTGTGAGCAGGTCATTTGGGCCTCATTAGTGCCTTTATTGATTTACAGTGAAACAGTCCTGATGAAAGTTATACCCTCCCAAGCTTATAGATTTCAGTCGCCTTAGGAGGATAGAAATCTGCTCAGGATTCCCTTGTCAATCTGTTTTTAATGATATGTTGGAAGCTTCATTGCTGCCTACTAGTCTGTCCTGGCCCACACTTTGAGAATTAGCTGGGCTGGAAAATGCAGACAAATCATAAATAGAAAACCAGTCAAAAGGCCCCAATTGGTGCCTCTGCACAGCACAGAATTGGCTCCAAATGGTACCTGTTTATAGACTCTCGTCGAGGCGGAGGCTGGGATTCGCTCTTCAATTATAGGGTATTGACAGCCCGGGCTGGCGTTGCTGCCATGGATCTAAGTGATGTTAATAACAGTCTGTCTTTCAGAATGGAACAAGAGGAACAGGCCTTGAATCAGTAACAAGTTCTGCCAGTACAAACACAGAGCGGGCGGTGTGTAAAGGATGGGCTTTATCAGTGCTGCGGCTAACACTGCTGGTTTTTTTCTTTATTATGTGAAAGCCTTGGGTGGGTTTTTTTACAAAACCCAAAGATTATAGCAATCTCAGGTGGAATGAAATCTGGGCTCAGATGATCGTATGGCCTAGAGAGTTTCACCCTCTGCAGATGTATCTGTTGCCCCAGTTACTGCTGAGAGCCAGTTTGGTGTAATGGTTAAGAGCGGCAGAGTCTAATCTGGAGAACCAGATTTGATTCCTCACTCTACCTGCAGCCAGCTGGGTGAGCTTGGGTCAGTCACCGTTCTCTCAGAACTCTCTCGGCCCCACCTATCTCACAGGGTGTCTGTTGTGGGGAGAGGAAGGGGATTGTAAGCAGCTCTGGGACTCCAAGTGAAGGGTGAGGTGTAAATCCGACTCCAACTCCTCCTTCTCCTCCTCCACCTCCAGTTAGTGGCTGCAATGCAATGAAAAACTTCACCTGTGTCAAACCATGTAAAAACCCAGGGCTCTTTTTGTAGAAAAAGCCCAGCAGGAACTCAGTAGCATAATAGGCCACACCCAACAGCAGAAACTCATTAGCATATTAGGTCACACCCTGACAGCACATCTCATTAGCATATTAGGCCACACACCCCATGTTACCAGAAGTGTGGTCATCCAGCCATACCTACCTTTTGCTTCTTATTCTGCATACTTTGTTTATTGTCAACCGGGGCTTTTTTTGTTGCAGGAACTTCTTTGCATGTTAGGCCACACACCCCTAATGTAGCCAATCCTAATGAGTTCCTGCTGTTGGGTGAGACCTATTATGCTAATGAGTTCCTGCTGGGCGTGGCCAACACGGGAGCCAGCCGGAACTCCGTTCCTGTGCGTTCCTGCCCAAAAATAGCCCTGTAAACCACACACTCTCCGCCTAACGTACCTGGGAGACCCAGGTACAAATCCCCACTTTGCCAGGGAAGTTTGCTGGGTGATTTTGGGCCAGCCACACGCTCTCAGCTTAACCTACCTCACAGGGCTGTTGTGAGTATAAAATGGAGGAGAGGAGAACAATGGAAGCCGCTTCAAGTCCCCATTGGGAAGAAAGGCAGGTGAATAAATGAAGCAAGTGTATAAGAACTAAAGCTAAACACTTGAAAAGGAAGATAGCTTTTAAAGTTTCCATCAAATGACTGTAATGGCTCTCACTGCCTCGTCAGTCAGCAAAGTATGACAAAGAAATGACGCGGGGCATACTATTACAGATAAGCCGGATAAGTGCCAGATGGTTGTTTTATTGAATTTATGCTTCCGTTGTGCGCAAATACCATGAGGCATACTCTGTGACCATTGAGACGGTTCACAAAATTATCAGTGGTTACTCTTCCAGCTGCCTGCTGTTAGAGATGTGAGCCACAGATTTTAACAGAAATGCAATGTGGACAATCAAGATTATTGGTATTTTTTCCCCCTCCTTCGTCTCTCACTCTTCCTGTAATGGTCAGATACATGTGCTGCTGGGGATATGATCAGATCTTCTGACATGCAGTTTAGTTGTGAAAACTACCTGTGTGGAGGGGGACCCTAATGTAAAATGAGGCTGTGGGGCTGGGGGAAGGGGAGGCGGGGTTCACTCTTCCACTGAGCTGTCTCCTACATCAAAAAAATGCCCACATGGACTGCTTTTTAACCACTGGTGGGCGGGGGGGAGGGAGGGATGTGGAATAACATGGTATAGCCCAATCTCATCAGAACTTGAAAGCTAAGAAAGATCAGTGCTTGGAAAGGAGACCACCAAGGAAGACTCTGCAGAGGAAGGCAGTGGCAAACTACTTATGATGAACCCCTGTATCTCTCCAACTGTCTGGCAGATTTTCCCCACCAAATCTTCAGTTCCCCTCAGTGACCGAGTTGCCCTACAGTAGCATGTATATATTCTTTGTCATAAAAGACTTGACTGTCCCACCCTATGTTTAGATATTTATGCTTTTTCTCACCTCAGGGACTCTACTGAGAATACAGGAGCTGTCCAGTTTTTTCTGAAACCTTGAGAAATGGCACTTGAGGAAAATTAACTTTCAAAAACAGAATAAAGATTTTATTGAACAGGCAGGGAATCTATGTATAGTAGGAATAGTCAAGGTTTTGAGATTGCTGTGGTTAAAAACTTTCTAATTCATACAGAGCTGAATTCTTAGAACATTCAAGGGAGTGTATTTGTAGTTTTGTTTCAAGGCTATTTCCTTCTTTGAGAGGGACTTTGGCCCCGGTCACATGGCAAAGTTGCCGCGGGAGAGGCACGGATGGTGGGTGGATTATCCGGGCGCGATCACACCCCAACATCTGGGAAGTGGAGCGCACCCGTGGCCCCTTGCTGGGGTTGCCATAACTCAGCTGCAACTTGACAGCACATACATACATAGGTGGAAAAGACAGGACAGGGGGGAAATACAGGAACTGTACAACTACCTGTCTTTTTCCCCACTGGAGTTAAAAGCAGCCCAGGGGATAGGATTTCTCACCTCTAGGTGATGGCTGAAGAACTCCCAGAATTACAGCTGGTCTTCAGGCAACAGAGATCAAGTCCCCTGGAGAAATGGCTGCTTTGCAGGGTGGACTGTAGGGCGTTGGACCCTGCTGAGGTTCCTTTCCTCCCCTCCACCCTCCTCAGGCTCCACCCACAAAATCTCCAGGTATTTCCCAGCCCAGAGTTGGCAGCCCTAGTGTAGTGTAGAGCCAGTCTGGTGTAGTGGTTAGGAGCGTGGACTCTAATATGGGAGAACCGGGTTTGATTCCCCACTTCTCCACATCGAGCTGCTGGTATGACCTTGGGTCGGTCATAAATTCTTTCAGAGCTGTTCTCTCAAGGGCAGTTCTTGAAAGAGCTCTCTTAGCCCCACCTACCTCACAAGGTGTCTGTTGTGGGGAGGGGAAGGAGATTGTAAGCCACTCTGAGACTCCTTTGGGTAGTGAAGGGCGGGGTATAAATCCAATCTCCTCCTCCTCCTCCTCTAGTGGGGAAGGGTTGTTTTTGACCAGGGAAACAGGATGGGAGAGTAACATGGCCCAGATTCCCTACTGACATGGCCTTTCCCAGTAACATGACCCAAATTCATATTAAGGAAGGACTTATTACATGGGACTTTAAGTGTTTTTGTTTTGCAATGGGCAGAACTTCCCATAGCGGTTGGGGGTGGGTGGGGAGGGGATGCATGGGTCAGAACATCCAAGGCCGGTATTCTGTCCACTGGCTAGACTGTGATCGATTGCCTCTCTGACAGATACATGAACCAGACCCATCAACTGACACGAATACCACTGAAGCCTATGAGCGCACGTGTCCAAATCTAAGATCCAGCTGGCCATGTTCTCTATATATTTGCTGTAAAAATTAATTTAATTTTTGCATCGAAAATCCAAAGCTGGGGATTTGAATGTTTCCTTGGCTTTTAGCCTGCAACAGCATTTGGTTACAGCTCCAGCATATAATTGGTTCTCTCCTGATTTCATCCACACTTACTTATAGTTCGCGTGCATTCCTTGTGTCTCTGCTCAGGGGTTTGCTATGCCGAGTTTGGAGTCCGTGTTCCCAAAACCACCGGCTCTGCCTACACCTACAGCTATGTCACTGTGGGAGAGTTCGTGGCATTTTTCATCGGATGGAACCTAATCCTGGAATACCTGATCGGCACGGCGGCGGGAGCCAGCGCTTTAAGCAGCATGTTCGATTCCTTGGCCAACCACACCATCAGCCGCTGGATGATTGACAGCATTGGGACTTTAAATGGGCTAGGTGAGAATTAGCCTTGACGTGTATTGGGTAGTGCCGTATCTCTGTTAGATTCTGAAAGGTGGCTGATCTCATTGGAAATCAGAGAGTGTCAAGAGGGCTCTAGTTTCAAATACTGTGGGCATAATTTCAACACTTAGGCCTTAAATCTGCTGGGCAGTGTCTTTCAGCCTACGTTGATCCTCCATTAGCCTGTATGTCAGACAGTGAACTCCAGTCTAGATTTAGAAATCCATGGCCAGCTTTTATCAGCAAGCACAGATTAATTTTGGGAACAATTCCTGCTTTGCTTTGGGACACTTCCCATACATCAGTTCAGTGCATCATTCTGTGCTACTAACAGACTCATCCTATACATAATCACCCTTGATTAGAGATCTTTGTGTACCCAGGTAGATCTCCAGTGTGCAGGGAATTCCTTATACAGTTCAGTAGAGAAAGTCATTGCACATAAATAAAGGAAAGCTCCTGTAGATTGGCTCCTGTATTGAAATGGATAAGGAAACTATATTGGGCAGAGAAAGTCCATGTGTGCATTGGAGCTGCATTGCCCTGTGCAAATCCCTGAATGGGGATGACTAGCTATGAGCTGTTTTTCAAAAGTACTTTGTACTGTGTTCTTGCAGATGGAATAACAGTCTCCACCGATTTCTGATTTAAAGCCGATCCCCCTGGTGAAATCTTGTGAACGCCTAACGCTGCTGTATACTGAGTCTGACAGTTGGTGTCAAGATCAGCACTGTCTACTCTGAGCAGTTCTCCAGGGTGTGTGAGACAGAGGACTTTAGCCTCACCTACTACCTGATCCTTTTAGCTGGAGATGCCGGGGATTGAATCTGGGACCTCTTGCAGGCAAAACAGAGGCTCTGCCACTGAGTTATGCCCCGTCCCCGACTACCATTGATTACTATAACCCCTTCACATTTGGACCAGTCCTGCAAGTTGTTATATCCCAATAGAACTTTAAATATGTAAACATCCTAACACTGACTTGCCATCTGCCTGCTATTTGCGGACGCTCCCTTGTCTCTGTTGGTGCTCAGTTGAGTTGCAAGAAGAAACTGGGCAGGGGGAGGCTTCTGTTCTGTGACACATTAGTGTCACTTCTGGTTGGGGAACGGAAGTGACCGTGGCAATGTTTTAGGAATCTTCCCGATCCCAGAGCACTGGTGATGTCACTTCCAGGTTCCAGCACTGGTGATGTCACTTCCAAGTGTCACCAATGTTCTCTTCCCCATGCCCTGCCCCCCAAAAGTCCCCCAGGAGTTACAGGCATGCAGCCTGACAACCCTGTTTGGGTTTTTTTTGGGGGGGGGGTTATTAACTGATTCAGCCATAACATATCACCAACAGCATGATATAGACATATACATACACAGACTTAAACCTAGTTTTGCATTACATATTTTAGGAATAGACCTAAAACAAGATAGATTCCAGATATTTTGAAGGTATTTTACATTCCACAGAGGGATTGTTATCTGCATCATGTGTCAAAGGATACCACTTTTCCACAAAATTATTTTTATAACCTGGGGCTGACAACCCTGTTAGCCCAGTATCGTCCCAGCTGCTTTGGCAAGGATCTTAGCTCTGCTGCCTGAGAGCCTTTTAAATGGCAATGCCTGGGAGTAGACCTAGGATCTTATGCGTGCAGATCATGCGCTCTGCCGCTAAGCAGTGTACCCTCGCTCTCAGGCACACCTATCCTGCTTTTCGCAGTGTGCCTGAGATTTTGGAGCTGACAGTTTCCCACAAATTCTTCTCTTTGCCTCTCTTGTCTTCTTTCTGGAATAAGGGGTCTCACATGGCACTTCCCCCCTGCTCTTCACAGGTAAAGGAGAAGAATCCTACCCAGATCTGCTGGCTCTGGCCATTGCGGTCGTCGTGACCATTATCGTGGCCTTGGGTGTGAAAAACTCTGTGGGATTTAACAACGTCCTCAACGTCATTAACCTGGCCGTGTGGGTCTTCATCATGATCGCTGGACTCTTCTATGTCAATGGAGAAAACTGGAGTCAGGGTCAGTTCCTGCCGTTTGGATGGTCAGGGGTGAGTGTCTTATAGATGACTAGGAAAAAGGCCCGTTGTGGAAATAAATACAACAGCCTCTAGAAAGAGGCTCTGGGCGGGTGCCCCGGCCTTGGACTCTCAGTGTCAATTTGCTGTGGTGACCTCAGCAGGGTATAATGACACTGAGTCCACCATTTTCTCCAGAGGAACTGATCTCTGCTACCTAAAGAACAGTTGTAATTTTGAGTGATCTCCAGCCCTCACCTGGAGATTGGCAATGATGGTTCCCCAGAAGGGAATGGTTGGTTTGGAGGGTGGAATCTATGGCTTTGTACCTGTCCGAGGTCCCACGCCTCCTGAAACCTCACCCTCTCCAGGCTCCATCCCTCACATCTCCAGGAATTTCCAACCTGGAGTTGGCAACCCTATCTCCTTCCCTGCCATCTGGAAAGCAGTTGGAATTCTGAGTGCTCTCCAGCCCTCACCTGGAGATCGGACACATTTTACCTCAGAACAGCAAACTGTTTAGAATGTTAGAGTCAAAAGCCAATCAAGTCACATATGCAAATGACCTCTGTGTTCCGAGGTAAAGGCCAATGAGGCTGCATATGCAAATAACCTCTGTGTTCTGACTGGCTATGGGGGGGAGAGGAAGAGCAAAATGTTTAGAATGTTGGAGGCAGGACTCAGGCAAAGCAGCCAGTGGATAGGGAGACCCTTTGAATGACAGATCAGAGAGCGAACTGATTTTGGAGCGTGTGGAATGTTCTAGAGAAGTGCCACCACCATTCGGCTTTTATTTATAAGGGAGATTCGCTGTGCCCTTTTTTATTTGTCTTTTTTTTTTGTCATCAAGTTGCAGCTGACATGCCAGCCCCATAGGGTTTTCAAGGCAAGAGACGTTCAGAGGTGGTTTGCCATTGCCTGCCACTGTGGAGCTGCCCTGGTATTCCTTGGTGGTCTCCCATCCAAACACTGACCAGGGCTGACCCTGCTTAGCCTCTGAGATCTGACGAGATCAGGGTAGCCTAGGCTATCCAAGTCAAGGCATTGGGCCATTACCAGCCTGAAAGGTCCATTATAAAAGCTCCACAGAAGATGGGTTCCTAAGTTCCCTACTGAAAGGAGAAAACCATTGATGGTGTCCTTCCCTTCAGATCCTTTCTTCTAACGGCACAACGTCTGTCATACATCAGTACGTACGTGCCATCAAGTTGCAGTCAACGTCTGACAACATCAGCAAGGGGCTTTTGAGGCAAGTGAGAAGCAGAGGTGGTTTGCCATGGCCTTCCTCTGCAGAGGCTTCCCTGGTGGTCTCCCATCCAAGTGCAGTGTTCCCTCTAAGCTGAGTTAGTGCGAGCTAGCTCACAGGTTTTTAGCCTCCTGCTCACACGTTTTTGTCTGAGCTCAGGAAGGTTGGCTCCAGAGCAAACTAATTTATGCAGTAGCTAAATCGCTCGCCCACAACTTTAATGCCAGTAGCTCACAAAGTAGATTTTTTTGCTCACAAGACTCCACAGCTTAGAGAGAGCGTTGGTGCTGCTGACCCTGCTTAGCTTCCAAGATCTGTTGCAATCAAGCTATAATGCAGCCTCCCCTCCCCTCTCTTTCATAAGAACAATACTATCATTCCCCCCCCCTTGCACAACATGAACACCCAAAGGTTTTCTTTCTTTTTTTAAAGTGGTTGCTCATGCCTGCCAAACAATGAACTCTAGGGGAAATTCTGGGATGTCTGCCCTAGGCTTTCTGAAATTGGAGTCTTGGCCATCCCCAGCTATCTGTTCTTTAATTAGATGTTCCTTTCTATTCACTGACCCCTTCCAAATAAATACCACCCAGGGAGCTTCCAAATATATACCGCCCTCGTCCCTTAAGCAACCAAAGGGCCACTCTCCAGCTGGTAAAATTCATGGTGGGCCACCGCTGGAATTGTCCAACACAATGAAATTAACAAGGCCTTAAGGTAATTAGCATGCTCTCCGAAGAGTTGACAACAACCCGCTAATTAAAACTGATGCCATAAGGCAGAGTGGTACAGCCCCTAGTCAAGTGCGAGCAAGAAAACAGGCAGGTGAAAAAGCATGTTTGTTCAAGGTGCAAACCAGCAGGATATAAACAATTTATGTACCTTTCCACGGATGTTTACTCAGAAGTCACTCCCACTCAGTTCAGCAATGCTGGACTTCAGAGGCTACAGCCTCGTGTCCACAAGAATAGGCATGACTGAGCTCAGTGACGCCAGACTTCCGAGTCAATGTGCTTGGGATCTGGCTGGCTCTGTGCTGTTGAGTGTTTTTTCCCCCGTTGGTTCTTTGTTGATTTGGTTTTTATGAACTGCTAATTTGCCTTTGCCCTTCCCTGCACGGCCCAGGCTGGCCCAATCTCATCAGATTTCAGAAGTTAAGCAGGGTCAGGCCTGGTTCGTACCTAGATGGGAGACTACCGAGGAAGTCCAGGGTTGCTATGCATATGCAGAGGCAATAGCCAATCACCTCTGTTAGGGTCTTGCCTTGAATACCCTACAGGGTTGCCATAGGTGGGCTGCACTTTCTACCACCACTGCCTGTCACCAATAAGAAGTGGCCCTAACCTGAATGGCCCGGGCTAGTCAGAGGTAGTCAGATCTTGGCATAGGGTTGCCAACCTCCAAGGCGGTGGCTGGAGACCTCCTGGGATTATAACTGATCTCCAGGCGACAGAGATCAATTACCCTGGAGAAAATGGCTGCATTGGAAGGTGGACTCTGTTGGGTATTACAAGTTGAAAACACTCAGTACATCTGGGGTTAAATGTTTGTTTATGTTACTCACAGGAAGTCACATGTTTCTCATGTAACCAATGTTCTTTAGCTGTAAGAAGCCCAGGAATTTTCTCCCTGACTAGGAGTTTGATTGGGACGAAAGTGTCAGAGTGTTTTAGCATTTTATGGCTTCTCTTCCCGTCTTTGTTTGCTGTTCTCAAGAAGAAGTAAGAGTTGCTCTCTTCTAGTCTTGTCTTTGTAGAGTAAGGATGTAGCCTATTTAGCTCCGTTGCTGTTTTCATCCCAGTTACCCTTCCCATGCTAGTATTTAGTAAAAACTTTATATTTTAATCACACATGGACTCTCAGTCTGAATTATTTTACTCAGGCTCTGCTGGGCTACATTATTTCTGCTAAATACCTTTTTTCAATATCTCACTATCACCCAACACTCTATCATATGGCATCATACCCTGTTGAAGTCCTTCCCCTCCCCAAACCCCGCCCTCCTCCGGCTCCACCCCCAAAGTCTCCAGGTACTTCCCAACCTGGAGCTGGCAGGCCTTGCACAGAGCTCACTGCAAGTGACCAGCTGAATGCTCAGACATGGGGATGGGGAAGCAGGATTGTACCCACTGTGCAGAAATGGAATTATGTGCTTTTAAACATCTGCACAATTTCTCTCTCTCTCTCTTTTTCTCTCTCTGTCATTTGGTTACCTGAACACTGGTAATCCTTTACTGGAATTCCAGTCTCATATCAGAAAGTGCAATGCACAATGGCCACAGGAGAGAATAAAGGTAAAGGTAAAGGTTTCCCTTGCTCGAAAGCCAGTCGAATCCGACTCTAGGGTTGCGGTGCTCATCTCCGTTTCCAAGCCGAAGAGCCAGCGCTGTCCGAAGACGTTTCCATGGTCATGTGGCCAGCATGACTAAACACCAAGGCGCACGGAACGCTGTTACCTTCCCACTGAAGTGGTACCTATTTATCTACTTGCAATTTCTTGCTTTCGAACTGCTAGGTTGGCAGGAGCTGGAACTAGAGACGGGAGCTCACTCCGTCATGCGGCACCTGGGTCTTGAACTGCTGAACTACCGACCTTCCACAGCCTGCAGTTCAGCGTCTTAACCACTTGAGCCACCGCAGCTCCTACAGGAGACAATAAAACCAACTAATTGACAGTTCCATTGTTTTGAGAAAGGCTTAAAACCACCACCGCCACCCTTGGAGAAAATGGCTACTTCGGAAGTTGGTCTTTACAGTATTATACCCTGCTGAGGTCCCTCCCCTCCCCAAACCTCACCCTCCCCAGGCTCCACCCTCTAAATCTCCAGGAATTTCCCAACCTAGAGCTGACAGCCCTGTCTTGGCTGCTAAGCAGGGCCAGCCCTGTTATTAGTACTTGGATGGGAGACCACCAAGGAAGTTCAGGGCTGCTGTGCAGGGGCAGGCAATGGCAAAGCACGTCTCTTGCCTTGAAAACCTTGCAGGATCCCCATAAGTCTGCTGTGACTTCACAGCACTTTCTGCCGCCAGTTTGCCTTCTGTTCTTTGCCCTGGCTGCTGTTCTTTTTACAGCTTTATAATTATTTTCAGATGCCACTGACTGCCTATTGTTTTAATCCCTTTAACTCCGGCCCCGGCCACACGGAAGGTTTTGCCCCGCAAGAGGGACGGATCGGGGGCGCATCAGATGGGTGCAATCACACCGCAACATCTGGGAAGCAGAGTGCACCCGTCCCCAATCCGTCCTTTCTGGGTGAAACTGTGCATTAAAAAAAAACCTAGAAAAGAGTACTACCTACCTGAAGCTCCGCAGCAAGGGCGGCCGTGGGATCGCCGGTGCGCCCGTCTTCCGCAGCATTCGAGGCTCCCGGCCAAACTGCGCATGCGCACACATGCGCAGCCGGCTGCCTCACTCTCCGTTCCGTGGCTTCCCCCTCCCCCGGCATCTGATCGTGCCGGGGAGCAACTGCATGGCGACTCGAGGGATCTGTCTGATCCCGCTGCCACGCGTCTATTTTGCTGCAGCTCAGAAAAGCCGCGCTTTGGCCGTGCTTTTCCTCCCCATGTATTTTTTTAAAGTTTGTATTGTTGCATGCTACCTTGAGTATTGTTTTAATAAGAAAACGTCTTCTAAAATAAATAACAATCGATGAGACTGATTGCTGTTTCCAAATGTCTCCAGACTGGGCCCTGTGGATTTTAAAATACATCATCTAAAGCATACTGCCAGATGAGTAATGCGACGGAAACCGCAAAAGAGCACACTGCGTAGAGCAGGATCTGAATTTGA